GCCAACGACACCCCGAGAATTTGTTTTTTACGGTTTGATTGTGCGTATGCCATGCACGGAATTTACAAACGAGCGACGGGATGATGTAGCCTGCAGTATTAGCGGTAAGCGTGCCAAGTTTTAGGCCGCTCCGATGCCCGGCAGTATTTTATTTCGATTATTATGTTGGAACTGGATTTTTCTTGTTTCAGAAGCTCATTCTATTTTATTGTCTCTATGGAGGTATATGGGGACTTTACGACATTCGGTTTGAAGGCTTTAACCACTTGTTATAGTTTATTTTTGCATTGTATTGGATTAATGTGGCAGTCCAAGGTTGTTGTAGGTGGTTTTCAAGTTTATGCACCCGGTTTTAATATCATTTAGCGATTTTACGACAATCGTTTACTATCCAATCAAGGTGACAGCCGAGCGTGCGTACAGTGGTGACAGTGACGCTTTGCCACAGTGTGTGGCCTTACTCTTCCCCAGACTTACCTGGGGTAAATTAATCAAGAAATTTTGGCCTCACACACAGAGACAACCCTTCCCCTCAAAAAACAACAACAACAACATACGCACACACACACACACACACACACACTGAATTCGAGAACTAATAGTGCTCTTCAAATAACAAATACCTTGTCACGTGCTCGTCTGAAAGTGATCTGCTACATTTCTTACCTGAAATGCAGTCCAACCTTTTAGAACTTTCTCAATCGCTTTGTAAAACACAGTAGCAGTCGCAGCCCCCGATGCCATGCTTGTGCGGCTCTGCAGCCGAATAGAGGGCGCTCAAAATAAAGATGCTCTTTTTTAATAACAATGACATTCATGTTTTAGGTGATTTCAGTTTTTTATAAATATATTTTAGATATTTAAGTAAGCTCATTTTAATCTGTCTTAGGGTATGAACCCTTTATATGTCTTAATAAACTTCACCGGATTTGGCTTTTCTTGTTGCAGAGGTCGCTGTACATCACGTAATAAGCTAAGCTGAAAGCAGAAGACAACACAGAATTACCGGAGCAATGCCTCTTGCTGACAGATAGATAAACTGTCCATTGTACGGAAAACCATGCCCAGAAAACCAAGGTTTACTTTCATTAATTATATTGTGATGTATGTGGGATATATTTAGCGTTGTAACAAATAACGAAACTGTGTGCTAATATTATTTGTGGAGGAGGGGGGGGGGGGGGGGGTTACCCAAAAGAAGTTTTGTTGGAGTTTTATAAATTTGGAAATTCGGACCGCATGATTAATTTTTGGGCCATCTGTTACATGTAAAATGGAATTATGCCAACGAAAAGGTTTTACTGTTGTTGTTATTGTTGCTTGTTGCCTAAAGACGAGTTTCACACGAGTACTGTAGACCTCACGAGTATAGACATCAGTACATTAGCCAGATTTCTTTTTCTGTGATCAGATTTTTCTCTCATTGTTTGTAATACAGTATACTCTATGATATGAAAGTGTAATGGTTACTGATGATTTTTTTTCTAAACCAATTATCCGTAAATTTCATATTTATGTTAGGCTACGTATGCTTGCACTTGAGGTTTACAAAGCTATACATGGACTTGCACCTTCCTACATCTCCGACCTTTTCCAAGAAAGAACAACAAGTTACAACCTTAGAGGAGAAAAGACTCTAAATATTCCCAGATTTAACACAGTGACATACGGCAAAAAATCCTTATCATATCTTGGGCCAAAAATATGGAATGATCTCTCAAATGACTTAAAGCAAAGCATCAATTCAAATGAGTTTAAATCACTTTTAAGGCTTTGGGAAGGACCCAAATGCAGATGTAGCCTGTGTAACCTATATGCTTTTAGTGAAAATGTGTAATAATACGTCATGTTTACATTGTTTATATAACTGTATCATTGAGCATTGTATGTAAAATTGTCTGTTTTTCACAGTTGATTTAGGTATAGCATTCAGCACATTTCCCATAAAAAAAAAAACTTTTTTCTCTTTTTTCTAAATTGTTATCTTAATAGATTTCGTGTTTTTGTTTACTCTTTGTAGATTTTTTTTATTTTTATTTTTTATTTATTTATTTATTTATTTTTTTACTAGACTTCATGTGTAATATTGTATTATTGTAGATATGTTTTTGTCCTTATATAGTCGGAGAATAGCTGTAAAGCTAATGTTTCCATTCAATTTGTAACCGACATGAAATAAAATTTATTGTATTGTATTGTATATTGTATGTTATTCAGTTTGGCTTGCTTTTTTTTTTTTTTTTTTAATAAAATGTGAAATCGTGATACAGTGTATATGTAAACTTGTATGCTTTTAGAACACCAGCTGTTAGGACAAAACTAGAGTTGGTACAGGTGAAAATTGGTGATAAGAACATTGGCAACAGGACCCTGTCCAAACTGAACCAGCTTAGAACTAGGGAAGACCTGTGTGATGTCAAGATAAAGGTACAGGTACATGTACTATATAAGCACCATCAATATGCATGTCCAAGTGGCGAGACACATTTTAACTCCCATTATCCTCATGCAGTTTGAATGTATTTTAAAATTATTTTAGAGTTTAGCTGTAATATACTTACTAGTATGAAATATTTCCTAATTCCTTCTCTCCATAAAATGTCTAATAAATTTATATGAAAAATAAATATGATACTCACTAGATTGTTTTAAAATAACATAAGTAAACCTAAACCCCTAATTAAATTTGAAAAAGTTACAAAATAAAATTTTCATTGACACTGTTTCATTTATTTTGACACACTTATCATGTATAAATTAACTTGAATTATCTGTTATATTCAGCTGTTGCTTTACAGGTGCACATGGATTCAGAAATATATCATGTCCACATACTATGTTTTCTTAGTGCAAATAGTTGTTGTTTTCCAGGTGATTCAGATGTACATGTATATCACTGCTGTCTTCTTCATGTCAACAGTTGTTATTTTCCAGGTGGATTCAGAAGTCTATCATGCACACAGATGTATTCTCACTGTGAACAGTGACTACTTCAGAGCCATGTTTGGTGTTGAGATGACAGAGAGTAGAACCAATGAGGTGGTCCTGACAGGGACTGTTGAGAGTGATGCAGTCAGGGATGTGTTGAATTATTTATACACTGGGAATTTGTTAAGTATGTTTTATAAGTGCTTTCTAAGTTGTTTACTAGAATCTCTCTCTCTCTCTCTCTCTCAAAAAAAATCTTTAAAAGAACTGAGAAATTTAATATTGTCATAATAAGATAATAACTGAAATGTATTCATTTGTTGACATACTGACATGCTTTCTCTCTCTCCCTCCCCACACTGTCTCTCTCACTCAAAAAATTTAAAAGAACAGAAATTTTTAATATTGTCATAATAAGATAATAACTGAAATGTTTTTGTGTGATCACATACTAACATGCATATACACGCATGCAGGAACATACATTGGCAGGGATACAATTACTTTTGATATTTTGTCACATAGTTTGTAGATAAAACCATTTCTGCTCGCCGTTACATTATGAACACTTTGTATCCTGTTTCAGTCAACGCCGAGAATGTCCAGAGCCTGTTTCTGCTCTCTGACATGTGGCAGATGGCTGAAGTGATCAACTTTTGTACAGATTTTATGGAGAAACAGCTTGATGTCACAAACTGTTTAGGTCATTCTTTTACTGGTGTTTTTTTTTTTCTTTGTAATTCTTTGTGATGCTATTTTAAGTGAGATGATTCCACTTAATACATGCCTGCATCTTTTTTCAGACAAAAGCAAAAAGTATTAATATTATGTGGCTTTGTCAAAATATTTTTGAACAACAGATCAAAATTCTCAATGACAACTGATTTATTGAGACTGAAAAGTGTCTACTATTGTTAGAAAATAGAAAAAAAATAGTTTCATTTTCTGTCTGCTTCAGAAAATCTACCAACTGTAAGAATTTTGAAATATTACTTAATGGGTCTTAATTATTCTACCTGTAGGTGTGTACTGCCTGGCAGAAAAGTTTCAGCAGAAGCAACTGTCAGAGAAAGCAGCCAGGTTGGTCAAACAACAGTTCACACTGATATGTAGAGAAGAAGAGTTCCTGACAGTTCCACCAGAGATAGTAGAAAGGATTCTCAGCTGGGGGGATATTTACTTAGGTATACCTCACACCTTGTGTTATTGTTATTTAAAGCTTGAGTGCCAAAGAATTTTGACATGTGCAAAGACAATTTTGTAAAAAATAATTCACAAACATTGTACAAAGATTGCGTTAAGTTGGTGAATATATCAATCCCCAGGTGCAGAGGCCAGTGAGGATGAGGTGGTCAGGGTGGTCTGGAGGTGGACAGAACATGACCAGGAGCACAGAAAGCAGTACTTGAAGTCTCTGCTGTCTCTGGTCAGGTTTTCTGGGGTGTCAAAGGAAACACTGGACTGGTTTAGAGGACTCAGTGTCATACAAGAGGACAAGGGTGAGGAATGGGGTGTTGTGAGTAGTTTAGATGATTTACCTTGAATTAAAGACGTTTAGGTGGATTATAAAGCTGAATTGGGCCAACCTAGATTTTTCATGTCACTTCAGAAGATACATTGTATCTTTGCAGAATGTTGATAAATCATACTTTTTCTGGATTTCCATTTTTCAACTTTTTTTTTAAACTTTTCTGGGATATTTGCACAATATCTTTGATTTTCAGCCCCCCCCCCCCACCCACCCACCCACCCACCCCACACACACTCACATATCACATCCCTGTGAGTAGATGTAGAAATAATGATTTAAGGTTTCCTCTGAAAAAAACTAGATTATTGCTTTTACTAACTGCTTCTGTTTTAGATAGTATACTGTATCAAAGAATTCTTTTTCAAAGTGAAATGATTAATTCAAGGGATTAATTTTAAAAGATTCTTTTAGAACTTCAGGAGCTGATCTCCACTCGTCTGTCATTCCCATATGAGGCCAGGCGTAGACCAGGCTACATCTATGTCATAGGAGGATACTTACAGTCTAGAACAGGGTAATACTCTCTTGAATGGTTAGACTAGGTTATAATTGACACTGCTGCTCTGACTCCCGTAAAATATTGTTGTTACACGTTTGACCCATGAGATGTTTTGTCTGGTGCATTTAATGTTTTATTGATTATGTTATTTCTTTTTACATGTCGGTACAAAGATACAAACCCCTCTTTGGTGGCCAAACATTGAAATTTTCTTAGGCTCTATTCCCATAGGTTTTAGATCGATCTATCCCCGCGGGGAGTCTCACTAGATTACTTTCAGATAATCCGACTTTAATGTCCGTCCCGCCTACTATAAGCTGTAAGGAGGTAATTAACTTTCGTGTCCGCCCGGCTGACTGCTATTTAGCATGAACCCCCAGGGAGTTAGGTCGATCTAAAGTAGGTCGGTCTAATCTATGGAAATGGGGTGTTAAATTGATGCCTGCACTGTATTTTGATATTATTGTAATTGCACATGTGGTCCAGGATCATTGAGATTAAGAAACTAGAAAGAAACTTCTTATATTTCAGCCAAACAGTTTACAGTCTCGTAGCCAGGGGGGAGGTTGGGGGGAGGGGTTCGAAAGAATTGCTCTTTTTGTCAGGAAAAGGTCTATTCTGGGTGAAATTTGATCTAGGTACTCAAAGCTAGGTTTCATTGTGAAAGGTCCACTTTTTCTTAAAAGGTTAAGAATGTAATATTCATAGAAATTCTCTGTTTTCCTGTACTTCAGCCCCACTTGTCCTAGACTGAAGACTGTGGAACGTTACAGCACAGAGATCAGAGAGTGGGACCCCGTGGCCCCCTTACCAGAAACCCCCTCACATTTATATGCTTTGAACACCAGAGGGCGTATATACTGCATAGCTGTCATGATAGACATGGAGTCTACCATGGCACAGGAGAAGGAAGCACACGGGAAGTGTTATCACTTTGATATCGTGAAGGAGGTGTGGGAGGACGCCACTCACTGTGTTGAGGAGAACGCCATGCAGGTTTTGGTGAAATGTTTTAAAGATGGCGGTGCAATCACCCACTGTCAAACTTCAGACTGTATTTACTGTGTGACAGCAGACAGCTGCGTGTGTATTAAGATAACGGACTTCCACGGAGAACCCGAGTTCAGGATATCTGGGCAATGGCGGAGCGTGGAGGACTACCGCGAGTTCCACCACCAGGGGCACAGTGCTGTAGTCCTGGGAGGGAAGGTGTACATGTTAGGAGGGGCAGATATGGAGACGAGGGCCAGTGTCCCTAAACCTGACCAGGTATTCCCCAGCTCCGCCCTGCACAGGTGGGAACTGGACAAGGGGGACAGGTGGGAGAAGATGGCGTCCATGAGAGAACCTAGATCGGTCTGTGCTGTGACTGTCCTGAGTATGTGAACACTTTGATGTGTCAGAATATATAAGTATTTTTTTTTAATTAATGAATATTTACACAGTTTATGTCGTACTTTCTGTTGCTTAAACTAGATTTATTGTATAACAAGGCTTAGTGTTAGATAATGATATCAGATTATAACATATTTGTTGTACGTTTTTCAGTGAATTTGCAATGTTTTTAATTTATACACCAGACTTAATTATATCAATCCCTAAAGTCAATGAATGAAATCCAAATTTTCAGAGACTGATTGTTTAATCATATATATGTACTTTATATCTTATAGATGGCTGTATTTATGCCATAGGAGGCTTCAATGCCCATCGTCTGACATCTGTGGAGAAGTACGACCCTGTCATGGAGTCGTGGACCACCGTGGCCAGTCTGAACAAACCACGAACACATTGCTGTGCCGTCACTTTAGATGGCAAGATTTATGTGATGGGAGGTGGGTGGAATAAATCGTTCATAACTCTATTGTACAAGTTTTATATATCATCCACTGACAATTTTATACTGACTGAAACAGCTTCTTTTCTACTTTCTGTTTGGTGTAAATTTATGACCATTAATGCAGAAAGTAACACATTTAAGGAAAATTCTTTTTTATTTTTGCATGATACAGAAATGAAATCTGTTAAAAAAGTGATTAAGTTTGGTTGCACGGGTACATACATGTATTGTAAATTGATACTTAACCATGTAGTTTGCACCGTACTTGGCCATGCTAGCTTGTTGGCGTCACTGCAGGACAAGATTGATAACTAGAGACAGTCAGTGCCTTTCTTACAAATATGTTAATTTTCCACTTCCAGGGAAGTCTTACTCCTTCAACCAGGGTGGAGCAAGGAAAGTTCTGTCCTCAGTGGAAGTGTATGATCCAGTGTGTGATACCTGGAGTTATATTGAACAGATGAACCAAGCAAGGTGTTGGTATGGAACAGTGGTCTTGTAATAGAACTGGTGGATTATGTCAAGAATACATGTAGTAGTACATTAGCTAAGGGGCATGTACTTATACATGGAGCAACATACATGTTGCATAGATACATAAATTATATTCATTCATTAAATAAGACAGAAAGCTTTAGACAGAAAGCATTATTTTATTAGAACAAAATGAAAAACAAATGTTTTTGAGAGAGATGCCTTTTCATCTGGTTTGAAGATGTCTACATTGGCAATAAAACTAAACACGGTACTAGTACTTCTGTATATGTCTTTAATTGATCAAGTTTATATGTTGTACTTATACCACACCTATCACACACAGTCATCACAGTTTATACTGTAGATTTTTTTTGTTTGTCAGGTACTACTATTTTAATAGTGTTCAAACACTTAAAAGTAAGTGAAATATCACAAATCTACATCTCAGAGGTAGAAATTATGCAATACTTATAAAGCAAAAGACTTCATCCACAAAATATGAATAGCAAGTTAACATACACATCGATTACTGTTAAATATGTACTAATAGCTATTGACTGCACACATGTACTTATTAAGTACTGCTCTGGCTAACAGAACATCCACTTTATAATGTATAATATAAAAACAAAATAACATACCACAGTATAACAAACATTAAAATACTAAAATAGCAAAAAATACAACAAAGGAGAGATTTTGTCCAATGATTGCCACTTAATTTACTTAAACATACAGAACTGAAGTATTGCAATTGTCTAAAAAGAATCTGGAGTTAATATTCTCTCCATGTATAAAAACTCATTAGGATTGCAACAGGTGCCCTGAACATGTAGATTCATGCTGCAAAACAGGAGATACTAAAATTATAAGAAAAAGAAATTACCATTAACCAAATCAAAGAAAACAGAACATCATAATTGAGTAACATGGTTTTAAAAGAAGTATATAGCAAAACATCTGGCAATAAAGTATTTATAAAAGGGAAGTAAAATATTTGACATCACAGTTTATATAATACTCAGATATTTAACAAGAAAAATAGACACTGGACGGAATATTTCTGACTTAAAAACTATCTGATGGAATGTAAGAAGGAAATATAAAATGTGACCCTAAAACATTTACCCTTAAAAATATCACACTGCTTTTCTACATTTATAAGAATCCCGTGTACATTGTTATGTGTAAATATCACTGTGTTAAATAATACAGTACATCACATTAAATTTCAGCTGCAATTAAATATACCAGCTGCCAGGTGAAAAAAATTATGACCCTACTTGGTGTCAATGATTGTCGTTTGTGATCTCAAGTTGCACGTTTTTGATCGCTGATGCTGAATTAACGTTTTGAACCACAATTTAATGGTGCAAACAAAAAGATTCTTGTAATGAGCATCACACACCACAACTATGCTCCTCTTTTCCTGTTCAGCACTCTCTTTATTTGACCAGAGATCACAAACTGCAATTTCACTGTTAGGACCTTGTCCCAGATCCATTTGAATGTCCTGTTCATGTCTCAAATGTTTCTGTATCTTAAACACAAAAGTTATCCTATTATTTGACCAATCCCTTGACATCATTCAGAGCACTGAGGGCATCCTTAGTCTGGACGTGGTCTTCTCCAAGGAAGGCTTTAAATGTGGCTGCACAGTGCTCAAACTGGTACTTAGCCTTGGCAAAATGGTTGGTTGCAAAGTACACTGCTCCAAGATTGTACCTGGAAATTACATATAAAATTACAAGGGTTTTAGCAATTTTTGTTACAATTTGGAAAAACTGTTTGACAAAGGTTGCTTCCTAATATTTTAGCAAGGCAAAAATTACTTAAAACATAGGAAAAAGTCCCCTCCTCCACCTCACTTTTATAACAAACCCCACCCACCTCAGTACAATAACAAGCCCCTCCCACCTCACTACTATATTAAGCCCCTCCCACCTCATTATAATAACAAGCCCCTCCCACCTCACTATGGCCACATCCAGGTGCTCAGGGCCGTAGGTTTCCACAAGCACGGCCAATGCTGCCTCATACAGCTCCTCCGCCAGTGGGTCGTTGCCGTCATCATAGACCAGCGCAATGTCATTCAGTATTCCTGCCACCCTGGGGTGTGCTGTCCCCACCTCCCCACGGGTCAACTTCAGGTCCTGGAGGAAGTACCCAAGGCTCTCCTCCAGTCTGCCCTGCTTGTAGGTTAACTGGCCAATCTGAAGGGAGAGGGAGAAAACCATGTTTAACGTATTTTATATTATCTTATTTTTAAACTTAAATTTTCACTAAGACTTGGGAAGGAGAAAATGGGTATTAGGATGACTTCGGAAAACACATGCTGTTTTGGTTTGAACAGTTGATTGTTTTTAGACTGTAAAATGCTGTGGATTCTGTTAACATTACGGGAAGGGAATACACTGGAACTGTTCAATGACTAATTTGAATAAGATTCAATGAGAACAAAACACCTGTTTTTCACAAATACAATTCTCAAAAGCATAAAGAACAAGTCACTGTTGCCCACCTTGTTAATGATGGCGGAGACATAATGATGTCTGGATCCTAACACCTCAGTGGCCAACTCCCGAGCTCTGATCAGGATTCTCTTCGCTTGAATGGCTTCATCTTTGGATACCTTAACAGCAGCCAGGCCCAGCAGACCTTCTGTCAACTAAAAAATAAAGTTTTAAAACAAATTAGAGAAAACATCTTGCCAAGATATATAAGTAAAACTATAGATTATACACAATACAATTATGTAATACAATACACAATACAACTTATGTAATAACAACCTTTGTCAAAACATCTGTTCATAAACTGTTATTTCAATTAAACTGCGGTCGACACAAAATCAGTAAATTTTCCAACTAATATAGCTTTTTTAATACTGGTACAAGTACATAAATATCTCTTACACTGATATAGAAATACCAATCAGTTATACTGAAACTTGAACCATGCACCTAACAAGCTTACCTTGAGTTTCTGTGAAGGTGTAATTATCCTGTTTTGTCTGGCAATGGCATCGTTGAAGTATAACTCTGCCTCCCTGAGCACACTCTGCTTGTGACACACTGTGCCAAGTTTCTGGAGCAACTGGAAATTTGAGTTTTATATATCTCAGTTTTATATATTTATACCTTTTTAAAACACACAGGAATAATTATGATTAATTAAGTATTGAAATGAATTTCTTTGAACAAGCTCCCAATTTTGACTGTTTTTACAGGGCCCCAAATGTCATACTGATTATGTGTACTACCTAATATACTATTATTTACTGTACGATTTATTTATAAAGAACATTCACCAGCAGAGTTGTACTTGTTCCAAACACCTGTTTTCATCTTGTCATCAAAAATAAAGAAACACTGGGTAGTCACATAGAGGTGACAAAGAAATATTATCGCTAAAAGCCTTACATCAATGACGTCTGGGTGGTTGGACTTGTGTCTCCAGGAGTGACATTTGAAGTTGTAGACCACAGTGCCATGACTGTGAATGTACTTCTCCTCTGCCTTAGCCAGGACCTTCTCTAGCATCACTCTGCAACAGTACTAGATAACATTAGAGTTGTGCTTTTATTGCAGGCCCGTAACCAGAGGGTTCAGGGGGTTCGAAAGAACCACCCCTTTTGTCAGGAAAAGGTCCATTTCGGGTAAAATTTTATCTAGGAACACATAAGTTTCATTGTAAAAGGTCCACTTTTTCAGAAAAAGAACCCCCCTTTTGAATTTGCTGGCTACGGGCCTGTATTGACACTATTAAAGCTAACTTGTTAAATCAGCTAAAAATGTTGCTTTTCTCCTAATGCTCAAGATATTCCTTGCATAATTCAAATCACTATGGGTTTTCAAAATTGTTTTCTAAAATCTACATTATCTTAATTAAAATTCATCACCATTTCCCTCCACGATGCTCTAGGCCTCAGTATTTGATCTTGAATCTAAATGTCTTCCCTGGCAGCTAATGAAGTTTAAATATTTTAAACCATGATGTTAGTTCATCTAATGAATATCAGTCAGGTCTCTCTCTCTCTCTCTCTCTCTCTCTCTCTCTCTCTTTTTTCTTATTTTGAGGCAAAAAAATCCCTCTCAGCGCCATCCAGTTACCTGGCAGCACTCAGTAGCCCAGTATCCATGTAGAAGTCAGCCAGGTTGACCTGTAGTGCATGATACTCCACTGTGTCTCTCTGGTCTGCAGGGTAACTGTCCAGGGCCGCTGTGTACGCCTCCTCTGCCTTACTGTAACCACCCACCTGACGGCATGGAAATAACAGAATAAATAATGTGTAAACCTACGAAATATGTAGAAATATGCTTTTTTTAATTACCCATTATGCATGTTAGAGTGTTAGTATTATAGAAGTATTCATACCCTGCCGGTATAGGTTGACATTTGCTACAAACTCCCCCCCTGTTTTGTTTTTGTTTTGCTTTTGATAAAGTGAGTGTATTCAAAATTCTGGTGTTTATAATATAACAATATTGCTTTCAGTCATTAAGTTATAACTGCTTAAAAAACTGCAAAACCTTATTAAAACTGTTTAAATGTATAAATTATAGCTTTTTCAAGAACCAGTGTGTCATTATTTTTTACCTTTTACTTTGCCTGACATAATTTTTATCGCTATAATTTCCGCATTACCTTTGTCCAATATTTGATGAGGTCAAACTTGCCATCTTCACTCTCCACCAATCTCTTGAAGATATTCAAGTCACTGATTGTTGCTTGCAGCTTTTCAAGTTCACCAGCTTTACTTTGTAAGAAAGGCAACTCCTCGACCTGAAATATAAGAAATATAAGAACACATAATAACAGGAGCATTTGGGGGTGGGGGGGAGGGTTTCTTTCTAAAATAACAACACAATTTGCACCAAACCCTGTACAGTTTGAATGGTCATATGTCATAATATTAAAATGACATTTTTCATACTGCTAAAAAAAAATATTTACAGTACTTTCCTTAAAACTAGTCCCTTAATAATAAAAGAAAATCTGCCCCACCTTCCTGCCATCCAGTTCTCTTTTCTCAAAGAACTCGGCCAGTGTCTTGTAACCTTTCAACTTCTCCTCCTCAGTGGGGAGATATTTACTCTCCACAGCCTGACGAAGATGGTCGTGGAAGAAGTTGAGAATTCCATTTCTGTTCACCAGATTGTCCTCCAGAGAGAGATAAAATGGCGACCAGACTGCTGGCGGCACCTGGTGAATTTTTTATAATTCATTAGATCTAAAATATAGTATAGCAGCAGAATGCTTTAAACTGGCTTTAAATTTTAATCAAAAAAAGATATTGTTTGTGTAATCGTAAGAAATTACAATTCAGTACTGTAGTGACTGGACCAGTGGTTGAGCTTACCAATGACTTAAAAAATATTTTATAAAAAATACAAGGCTTTGTCATCAAGTCATTTAAGAAAGTAGATTTTACTGTAATTTTAATGCATAGTATATCACATGTAATAATATCATATTAAAGTTAAAATGTACTTTTCAAATAAACCATAAATTCCTGGTAATACATACATCCAGCAGGTCCCGGAGTTCTCCCTCAGACATTCCTTTGTGAGAACACCAGATGGCAGCAGTGGTGTCCTTTACCAACCCAGGCCTATCAGAAAAAAGATGAAATGGTTGCAAGACATAAAAGGCTTGTTTAATGGTAAACTTGCGACTGACTTTCAAACATCTCACACTGTGGTCTACAACGTTCAAACAACTCTTACATATCAAAGTTAGCAAAAAGAAGTTAAGCAATTAATATTTAGTATGATAACAAATATCAACAGACAAAAACCACAAAAGTCAGTTCTAGATTTTGTTTCATGTAACTAACATATAAAACATCATTTAAGAAAACAGAAAAGGGCCGATATAAATTCTACAATAGTCTACTATAAAGAAACTATAGTCTACTATAAAGACATAGTCTACTATAAAGACACCTCTTTTTAAAGATTTATGCAAAATTCAGACACAAAAATTACAGTACTATCTCTCATAAAATAAATCATATTTCACATTTCTTGTGATTCATCTAGAGGAATTCTGCTATCAAAATATGACTTTGCGAAGTTCTACCTGCTCTCGTCCTCAAAATCGCCCTCCAGTCTCGCCAGTATTTTTGCAAACAAATCACCAGGTGTCCCTGCAGTCAGATACTCTCGAACCTTGTTGCCCAGCTGCTCAAAACTGCCAAATAGACGGACCTGGAAAAGTGGATATCGGATATCTTCATGATCAGCAAAAAGGATATCAAAAATCAATAAAATCAATCACAATTCACTGATATAATAAGCTGCACTGATAACAGTACTGTATAGCCCTCTCTGAAAATGAAAACAATTACAATAAAGATATAGTCTATCAAACAATACCTAGGCCTATATACACCGTAACTTTATTCTATTCTAAAATGAATACGTAGTAAATATTGATGTAATTATCAACTAGTAAAATATTAGACAATATCAGCACTAAAACAGACACTATTTTGAGTTCATTTGATACAGGCTAGGAGAGGGGTACAGCAAGACATTATCACCTCATCCAGCAGAGATCTCAAGTAGAGAGCGTTATTGGTGGGTTCCGCATCAATGATCAACTGCGTCAACTCCTGCTTCAGTGTCTTGCCGTAGAAATTAGTCAGGTAGCCTACAATGATTTCTCCCTTCTCTTCCTTCTGGAGTGGTTTCACATGGAGACTGGGTAAACCAGCATTCTGAACTGCTTGCAGGGCCTGAAATATACAGGTAATAGTACAGTAGTATTGAGTAATATATGGATGTACGGTGTCCTCTCAAGTAAATCAATCATGAACAAACTGAACAATATTTAGATGGTTACTTGATACTCAAGACTAGTACTGTCATTTGTTTATTTCTTATTTTTAATCACTGTTTGAATATTTGAATATATATATATATACATGTATGTTTAAATTTTTAATGTAATAAATATTGCTTATATCAATTCTTTACACAGAGAAAATAGAGTTAAATTGACAGAAGAATTATCATCTAGACATATGATGAGAGCTAGCAAACTGCAGTCAATATCTTAAGACAGTAAACCTTAAAAGAATTTTTTATAATGTAAAAAGGGTCATCAATGACTGTCTGTAGATTTCACTTACACGCCCTGGCAATGTCGACAGCAGCATCTTCACACCAGGGGGCAGCTCTTTAGGCAGCCATTGCAGATCATGCTCACTGCCTAAATGATGTGGAGAAAAGAGAGGTTCAAAGACAAGTTCTGCACAGTGTATAGGTCTTAATCATATTATATTTAAGCAGCTGCCTTTCCTATTACTTTTTAGTTATTTCTTCTGACTTTCATTTACAAGACGAATTTTCACATTCTTGAAAATGGTGGCATTTCATTTAAATATGTCAACAGCTCCAACTGAAACTTTGACTATAAAACACATTCATTTCCCATATACACTGTATATCTTTTGAGTATCATATACAATAAATATAAAACAA